GTGGGTACACCTGGGACAGAGCAGCTGGGGGGCTGCTGGGTTGGTCCAGTAGTGCGCAGCTGGGGCGCTGCGGGGACCAACCCGGCAGCGCCCCAGCTGCTCTGTCCCAGGTGTCCTGATTCAGCTGCTGTTGAAACTGACCAGCGGCTGAAGCTCTGCCTCAGGCTTCCTGGAGTCAGCCGTTGATCAGTATCAGCAGCAGCTGACTTGGGGACACCTGGGGTAGAGCAGTTGGGGTGCTGTTGAGTTGGTCCAGTAGTGCCAAGGGTCGGCGCTACCGGACCAACCCGGAAGCACTCCAGCTGCTCTGCTGCAGGCGTCCCTGATTCAACCGCTGCTAAAACTGGCTGAAGCTCTGCCTCAGGCTTCCTGGAGTCAGCCGTTGATCAGTATCAGCAGCAGCTGACTTGGGGACACCTGGGGTAGAGCAGTTGGGGTGCTGTTGAGTTGGTCCAGTAGTGCCAAGGGTCGGCGCTACCGGACCAACCCGGAAGCACTCCAGCTGCTCTGCTGCAGGCGTCCCTGATTCAACCGCTGCTAAAACTGACCAGCAGTGGCTGAATCAGGGATGCCTGGGGCAGAGCCGGAGTATCGGAAGGGGGGGCTATGAGGAGTCTGGAGCGGCATCCCCTCCACCCTACCCCAGACCCCTCAAAGCCCCCCTTCTGATAGTCCGGCATATCTGATAATCCGGCATCCCCTGGGTCCTAAAGGTGCCATATTATCAGACGTTTACTGTACCTCAAAACTGAAGAAATAATAATGCAAGGGAAAATGTGTTACATGGGCATCTGAGGCAGTGAGTTGTAGCTTAAGAAAGCTTATGTACGAATACTCTAATAAATTTGTTAATCTTTAAAGGGGCACCAGATTCCTTGTTGATTGTATTTTAGGTTGTACACAGCGGCACATCATACTGGAAACTCTCTTATGTTGCTTTTATTATCTCAGAACTTATGTTTCTTAAAATAGCTGAAAGGGTACTGAGCATTGAAAATGTGAACACAATGTAACCAATGCAATGATGCCTTCTGCATTTGCTGAACTTGAAACTCAAAAGAGGTACGTGCCCTGATTCATGTGTTTTACTGGATACTATCATCTAATACTTTAAATGTCAACACAATTAATTCATTATTCAAATCACGTACAAAAGGAAAAATCCCTCTGTAAAGATTTGAAATCTACCAGGACAGCTTATTCCAATGTCACCAATAAGCAACAGTAGGAAAACAGCCCACTCTTAAAAAACCTAGCAGCCAAGGATGTTAGACAGCATGTAACTGAATAGGCATTAACTGCATCAAATCTTAGTGGTTACACAACTATTTGATAGTCTCTGGGGGCAGGGCCGGCAGCAAGTGTGCTCTCTAGCTCCACTTCCGGGGAACTCCTTGCCACCTCGCGCTGCTGCTTCTACCAGTACTACTGAATGTGGAAACTATTTTAAGAGAGCACTTTTCTGAAATTCTCTGAATAATTCTCATTATTCTCTCATCTGTGGAAAGAAAAGCTTCCAATTTTGAATACTGCGAAGAAAAAAAAAACACCCTTCTAAAATAAATGTTCAAGTGTAGTCTATGCTCCAGATATCAGTGAGTTTGAATTATATGAAATGTTTGAAGTGTGTGCATTATTCAAGGTTCTTTCCCTCAAAACCTCAGTCTGACAGTGAATGCTAAGACATTTTAAAATTCATGATCACTCGTACAGGTATTTAAATTCCATTCTCAGGGTGTTGTAATTTTGGGGAAGTGCAAAATTTAAAATTAATTAGGGCGGCTGCACTTGCAACACCACAATTAAAATGCTGGTTTTGGATGTCTCTGTTCTACTCAAATATGAAATGTGAATGAAGAGCAAATAAACAAACATATGTTGCCTGTTTAAATCTACACACAGTAACTTTAAAAATATTCAGCTTGACAAAATAACCTTATTATATTCCAGAGGTATTACTACATCTGGCTCCAAAGTACAAGCACGGTTGAGGCAGCTCAGCCAATGATATGTTTTAGATGACTAATTTTCTATGTACCTCTGAGTCCATAGTGTCAATTCAAAGAAATGTTCCATACTTTAGTACTTAGTTGTAAAGACCTGTCAAATTCTGACTTTAGACAGATATTCTGGCAAGCCAATGTGTGAAAATTAAAAAAAAAAACCACCACTTTACTATATACAAAGGCTATTTTAAAAACTGTTCCTGTTATCTTTAGTGATTTTTTTCAATACTCAGCTTTTAGCTATTTTCTTTATTTCATTCAGAGTGGACAGCGGACAATTTTATTTTGGTTTCTTACAGACAAAAACAATGCTATTTTTTTATTTAAAAATATACAAACTTTTTTGTAAAATCTTCCCTTTTAAATACAAAAATTTAGATCTGGGCTCTATATTGTATGCCCCTCTCTCTGAAGGAGCCAGTGAAATATGAAATTCCAGTGTCCAGGACTTTAACACAGCATGGGGAAAGATTAATTTATAGGTCAGTAACTAAAAAGTCTCAAACTATCATCATCCTTTTAATGAAAGAAAAAGGCAGATTTTAACCAGGGATTTACTCACAGCTAGTGAAATTTCAGGATCTTCATCAAATGAATCAGCATCACTCTCTTCAGTCTGATAAATAGTTACCTGATATACCTGATGGAAGAAAATACTTTAAATTCCTTTTACTTGATGTTTAATTTTTATTTTTTTTACAACTTAGAAAATAGAAATACTATACAAATGTTCTAGAACAGTGTTTTCCAATTTATGGGCTGCGGCTCGGGAAAAAAATACTGGGCCTCAGCATGGCTGCTGGGAGGAGAGCAGAGCGGGGTAGGCTGGGAGGAGGCAGGGAGGAACCGGCCACTGGGAAGCAGTGCTGGGGGCAGCGGGGCTGTCCTGGTGGAGATCTGGGCAGGCGGGCAAAGCAAGGCTGGGAGCGGCACGGCTCTCCCGCGGAGATCCGGGCAGGCAGCGAAAGCAGGGCTGGGGGAGCGGGGCTGTCCTGTGGAGATGTGGGCAGGCAGCGGAAGCAGGGTTGGGGGCACTGGGGCTGTCCCACAGAGATGGGAAGGGCGGG